TATTATCCGGACTATTTTTCATCGGAACGAAAGTTTTTAACGTTATTTAGTCTTTTTACCTGATAATTCAGATATCCGGACGCTTCACATACACTTCCGGAAAAATTGACTAGGAACTAAAGCGTCCGGATAAATGAGGCTCCACTAGCAGTATTCATTCAGTTTTTAAGTGTCAAATAGACTTCGTAAAAATCTTAATGGAACTGTACATAATTTTGCACAGAAAAGCCAAGCACCTTATAGTGTACATATAATAAAAAGGGACAAGAACAGCACAATTCCTATCTCTTTGATTAAATTATACAATATTTTAACGTAACATATATTTTTTTTAGATCATAGTAGCAGTCCTTTTAAGAAATATACAAAGGTTGTGTTCAAGTAAAACAGGGTACAGGTGGCAGAAGATAAAAAAGGGGGTTAATGTGCAGAAATATTTGTAACCTATTTCAATTGTGATTTACTTTTTTAAATAATAAGAAGGTAAAAGGCGTTTTAAATTTGAGGTATAAATTCAAAGAAAGTTTCAATTTAAGGCACAGTATATAAATAATTCATTTGTCCTTTATTTTCCATTGTTAATACAATTCATTTTCGTCGCCTGTCTTAGTTATGGAGTAGAAACATAGTAAATAGGAAACCTAGAGCTTTAATCATTTTTAATAAAATATTAAAAAGTATGAAAAAAAAATTAAATCCGCTTGCACGGAAGAAAGGAACGTATATTTTTTTCATGAATGTTTATGAAAGGATTAAAGGTTTTTAAAAACAATTTACATAATTCTTAGCGTATCTGAATTTATTTCTCAATTGATTTTTTCGGTGATACAGAAAATACATGGTATTTTTTATGAGTTATAGGGAATACAGTAACGTCCGTGTGTGTTAATGAGTGAATGCTGTCTCATAAATTTTTTTTTGATATTGGGATCGATGTACTTTTTGCGAGGGGTGTCCCAATTTGCGCGCGGTGTCCTTCTGCATGGGATTCTCTCTCTATATATATACATGTATAATTCTTTTAATCTTAAAAGTGCTCTATATATTCTATAGATTGAATTCGATTATTTTATATAAAAAAAATAGTTTGTATGGATTTAAACAAATATTATTTCCCTACTGATTATGTTATAAACCGTTACTACATTCTGTCTAGACACCCCCCTTTCTTACGCATTTACTAGATCTACTCTAAAAGTAGTCTGAAAATAGCAATAACATACAAAATCCCTTTGGAATAGTTACATACTAGTCGTTTGGAAGAAAAAATTAAATATTTCCTCATGTTTTTAATTCTGAAAACGATTGAAGTTATTCAAATAACTTGTAATTTTAAGGGTTTCTTTGAAAACTGAATTAGACGCAGGGGACGTCATTACGTTTTCAGTGAGTTACGACAAAGTTTTTTTTGGAGCGCCTCACTAAAATGCTCATTAAATACCGAAAAAGTGAATTTATTTTCAAAATTTATGTATATTTGCATTCAGAAAGAGCCTGGCTATCAAAATTTACCCAAAAGTCAATTTGTGAAAATTTGACCTTAAGGGCCCTTTTCTCATGACGACAGTCAAATAATTATTGCAAATGCATATCTTTTTCAACGATTTTTGTGAATTAATTATGAAGTCTCACACATACAGTTAATTTAAATGCAATTTTGATAAACCTGTCATCAATTATTTGTGATAAAAGCTTAAGAGGGGTCCTGGATACGGTCAAGTTGACATTTAAAACGTCTACCACACAAACAGACTTTGAAAATTGGAAAGCAAATAACTGTTTCTTAGACTTTATTGTTGACTTGGGTACTATTTTCTTGCAGAAGTAAGGTCGTTTGGCAACATATTCTTTTCCAAACTACCTTTAATATTCTCTTCAAATCAGATAAAAATTCATTCAAAATGTTTTATTATGCATAACGAAATGCGAGGTAATTTTCATCAAAAATACGTTACAACAATACATGTCATGTATTACATGTATGTCATGTATGATATTGTTTATAAATCTATACATGTAAACATATACTTATATCTCATGTATGAAGTGGAAAATTGAAAATAAAAATGGAATTATGCTTTTAAGTCTGAAATTTTGCACATCGTTACAGTCTTCTTTTCATGAGAAAAAATATTAAAACAGAATTGAATGTCTTCGAAAAAAGTTTTTCTTGAAAGATGAAAGGGTAGCCAATGAGAATACATTTTGATATAAAACTACAACACAAGGATAAAATCAAAAGGAGTGAAAGAAAGGTCAATTGATTCAATATTTGAAGAAGGAATAATCTGCAAGTCAGTGTAGAAAAGGAAAAGGAACTAATGTCTAGATGTCTAGGAAAGAAATTGTTTTAAGGACACATTTTAAAATGGACATTTATAATGTACATGAGTTATAATTTTACAGAATAAACATTTTGTTCATTTGAATGAAGTTAAAAATGATTTTCATTGTTTTCTTAGACTTCCAAGATATATTTGAAAAATATGATGATATAATTCATGACATTTAATTAAATATATAGTCAAGGACTACAATTGAACATTTCATTGCAAAAAATAACTTTGTGTGCAAGTTCCATGTAAAAATAAAAATCCAAATTTAGCAATACAGAATTCTTTAGAAAGACCAAAAATGACTCTTTTCTTTAATAAAAAAAATTCTTCCGCACCAAAATATAGGTCCCCTATAAATGTTTTCTTTATGGAATTTAATCATGGGTTTAAACTGAAAATAGTTTAATCAACATTATAGAATCCAAATTCATTGTAAGAACTTGAATATCATTTATTTAAAAAAAAATAGTTTTCAGGACAAAAATCTGCTAAAAAGTTGACAAAAGTACCTCTTTAATGTACCGGGTAGGTCGCGGGTTTGCTGACGTTGTTAAAACGCAATTCATGTGGTTTGGACGACTTTTTTGTGCACATCTAATTATGATAAAATAAATAGTACATTATTTACAATGTTATAACTCTTGTTGGAAAAAAGGTAATTTATTGTAAAATTATATAAAGAATGAAGGCTTTTTCCCTATATAACTAAATAAAATGACATCCGAACTGTTAATGCAACAATGGTATTTTGGTAATTCAATTACACAAAAACGCATAAAATAAAAAATAAAATAAAAATAAAAAACACAAAAAATGCAAACGAATGTTTCAAAATTTTCAGAGAATATAAAACAAGGGTAGAGAAATCATGTAACTAATTTTCATGATGTTTTCAGACACTTTTAAAGGAAAGGTAATAATTGGTTTCAAGGCAAATGCCATGAACGTCTGAACTTAGGATTTTATGAGTCCATCTCATATTGACAAAAATATTTGTTATAGTTTGGAATATTTCATAAAATAAAAAAAAAATGCTTGAAAATTGATTAGATCGTACATGTACTATGTGCTGCATGAACATGTAGAAGCCACTAAACCAATTTTTTAAACAATGGTTATTGAGGAAGTAGGCAAAAGTACACTTTCTTAAAAAAGGAAACAAGAAAAGACGAAAAAAAACAATTAAGAGAATAAAAAGGGTAAGTGCAAACAATTTTTTTGTGCATGTAATTGAATGAATTTTATCATTTTTGTAAGGGCGTTCTCAAACCAATGTTCCCGTTTATGATATTTAAATTTAAATTGGGCAAGATAACAATACCTACGAGGGCTGTTAGAAAAGTTCGCGGACACGTTGAATTACGGAAAATCTATTGTTTACTGTGAAGTATGACCTATGTCTGAATGAATTCCTACATTTTGTTTATTGGTACAAAATAATCAGGTCCATATAATAAAATCTTGAAATTTTACAACTATTTTTACTTTGGGGTCATGGGAATCACGGAGCAATCATTTGACGTAAGCGACGTGAAAACCAGATTTCAACCCGTTAAGCTTTGTCGCAGTTATATTTATAAATCTTTCATTTCTACTTTAAAATGAACATGTTACTTTTCTACTATAATGTCTTTTGTACTGATTCGTATATTTTTAAAATCTTAAAAAATAAAAAAAAAGTCTATGCAGTTAATCGATCAGGTATGGAAACTATGCAAAACCATATAGGCACAACGCAACGTCCATGCGATAAGGGGGTATTGAAGTATCGATGGAGTTAATCATTCAAAATGTCCCCCCTTCCATTCTTATGAAGTATAACCATTTGAAAACTTGTTCTTTGTATGTGTAGGAAATTCCCGGCAGCATCTTGAACATTTTAATCTCTTTTTAGACATTTTCCTGTCTGCACACATAATTTTTACGTAGTGCAGTGCTTTATGACGCTCAATGACGTTCCGATTTTTGGCTGTCTTTTTACGCGTTGATCATTTATAAACGGCTATAAAACAGTCATATACCATCCAATTTAGTTCAAAATTTCTCCCAGTGACGTTTCCTGCATTCTTTAGCGGCAGGTGAAATATCATAAATCTCTTTGCGCTACAATTGTGCAATTTTTAATTTTAAAAAAGAGTCTTTTTGGTGTAAACGTGCCAAAATGAAGCATGCTCCATGAAGCAAATTTTATCAAACCAAAAATGCTGTATATTCTTCAATAATCACTCAAGAGCACCAAATTCTTTTAAATCAAATGGAAAAAAGGTAAAGATTTTATCTGGAAAGTTTGACCGGTTTTGTGGAAATAGCGCGCTCACAATAGAACACCCCTCGTATATTCCTAAATACAACGTCGCACGTAAGATTAAAAGAAACATAAAATTTTGACATTCTTAACTTTTTTTCTGACCAACAATCCTCCTCCAATATAAATAATTCATGTTTCTGAAAAAAAAGAGAAAAAAAAATTCAGAAAATATCAAATAATTACGTAAACGGTGTTTCATACACAAAGATTCCTTTGGAAAAAAAAATATGTAAACATTCAAACGTCGATCGCTTTGACCTACATATACAGTGTACTAATATTTCGTCCTGCTGTGTTGTTGTATAAAATTATAACGTACCTTTTTCAATGAGGCTCAATTTAAGTTACACAGAAAGATATCGAAAATTGCACACAATATATAAAGTCTCTTTCAATTTATCTTCAATGCCAATCAACGCAATCAAAGCAATAAGTGAGGATGGAACTTTTATATTTGAATGGTGTGGTTTTTAGTGTTTCCTTTATAGATGAAGTTCTTGATTGTCAAGGTAAGAAAAACATTCCAGAGATCTTAAAAATTTATGTTCTTTGTCACTATTATTTTTTTGATAGCAGGATATTTGATTGTATTCATGATCTATTTATATAAAAGTGCCAATGCTGCATGTGTATGGTAAGTGTACATAATGTCAAGATTAACAGTAATTTTATATTTTTATCTATAACGTATGAGTTATATGTTATGATACAACAAATAAGGAAGGTACCTCATAGTTAAAGTTTTAAAAATATTTTTTACCATTTTAATTTATTCGGTTATGTAAAATCTCTCGGTTTCAAATTTAATTTTTTTGAATTTCCACTTCCGATATAAATATTACCCATTTAAAAAAATTGGCGGTTATTAATTGAGCCCATTGGCATTGGCAACATATATACAGAATGAGGTATTCTATTTCAAAGCACAATTTGTCTGAACATAAAAAATAAGGATAAATGAATAAATTGTTGATCAAAAGAGTGAAAGCTTGTGTCAGCGCTCTCTGTTAGAATGTTAAAGAAGGCTTATCTCTTGGATAATCTGAAGGCTTACATACAGTCTGTAATTTTAGGTTACCCAACGCCGGAGGATGCCTGTTCACAATCATGCTGCAATTAATGGTACTGCGTTTATTAAAATCTTTATCAATAAGTGAAAATGAAAATAGTTAATGACAATATACGTCATACATGTAAACCACTACTTTCCAGGTTGCAATATTTCAGTATTCGATTGAATTTAAAAAATATAATTACATAAATAATATAAATCTTTTTTTTTTACATGTACTTAGATAAATAATTCAAGAAAGTGCTGATTCAGCTCTATAGTAGAAAGCATTGTGAATAATTTACAAATTATTAATTGTTAAAATTCATAAACTTAGTAAGTTATATGCATTTTAAAATGGGCATGAAAAGTTAATCAACACTACATCTAATTGACAGATATGGCAGGATTTCATCAAAAATATATTTGGATATGTTATCCCCTGCAATGATTCCTTAAAAACAGTTTCCAGAGTTTGGACCTGTCCCAAAAATTTATCGGAACTCGAAAAAGCAATTGAAAGAAAAAGCTGCTACAAGTGGAAACACTCCTGCAAGTCTTTTGAGTATCACTGTGTAAGCAATGAGTGGACGAATGAGACAATAGAAGTTTGTGCCCCGTCACTGCTGATAATTGGTAAAAGCTCTATAGGATTTTGAATTTTTATGGAAAACTTTTTAAGTACCATGAATGATCTCAAAATAGTTCTTTCCTCTCTAGTATGAAATTAAAATCACCTTTTACATTTCATATCATTAGCATATCATAGTAAGAATTGTATCGAAAAAAGTACATATATAGGTGATCACTACTTATATACAACTTGTCATGAGATTGTGAAAATCAAGTAAAATGTGTTGATTTATATAAAGAAAAAACAAACAAATTCACCTATTGCTATTTTTTTTGTGAATTTACTTATGCAATATATATGTTTCTCTTAATGTTTATACTAAAAGTCGTACTGAATATCAGCCCAGGTGTTTTGTAGCAATGGCCAAAACTTTATAGTTACTTTAGCAAAGTCGTGATATCATATAGAAGATTTTATATATACTTGTAATTACATTCCATGTGATTACTTTTCCAGGTGGAATATGTGCTGAGTTCAACACAGACAGAAGAAGTGTCCGTGCCAATTATTTAACAGATTGCAAAACGTCTTTCCTTGGATGCCCAGATTCATATAATTCGACAACATCATATAAATGTAGGAATTGAAAGACGTTCACTCGATAATACATTTATATGCTGGTTTTTATTAAGGAGTTAATTGCAAATAGTTCCTAGACATATATTTCTTTTCCAAATGTGCAAACTCTCATTTAAATAATATTAAATGTAAAATTTCTGCATTATTTATAAAATGTTTTGGGCATTATGTATACAGTTCATACAATCAAACCATTTGTACACACCTACATTCAATTCTTAATTTGCATACATAATTGTCAATAAATTTTATAATGACTCTTTAATCCATAAGCAATTGTTGTACATCTTTCAGATTTTGGTTGTTTACCTAACGTCACAGAAAGAAGGGTTACTACTTTGCAAACAATACTATCATCTCAACATCTACAGGAAACTTCACAATCAAATACAGTTGATAAGTAAATGATTTTTCAATGGTGATTATTATTATTATTTAAAAATGGAAAGCTTCTTACTCTACCTACTGTATAATATTTATTTTTCAGAATCCATAAGAAAAATGTGAGCAAAAGTACCCTTCTTATTTGTATGATTGCAATCACTCTCATGGCAGGATGTTTAACTGGATTATTGGTGTACTGCATTAGGAAACGCGGTTTCAGCTTTCAATTGTGAACAGGTACATGTAGATATGTACGGGTTTCATAAAGATGAAATACACATAGAAGATTGACCGATAAAATTTAATTGATCATACACGTCATGTATTTTTATAGTGTGCATTTTGTAAGGTAAAATATTGTGGAAGGATTTTGCCAGAAACATGTTTATTTTGTCCTTTCTTGGTAGCATGGAGTTTTTTTTATTCTTTTTTATATGATTAGAGAAATTCTTATATCATGGGATATTCAATTGCTTTGACAAGCAATATCCTTCTATGTGTATTTCAAAATAAATGAAACAAATGTTTCTGGTTAAATTCAGAATTTCAAATAATAATTTCATTATATCTTTTGTATAACAGTGTATGGAACATTTATCTTTAACAATCTAAGTATCTATAAGGACAATAATTAATTTCCACTGTTTAAAATTAATTTGAAATCTTGCAGGAAAAATAGTTAAGATAACGTACAGTGATCAATTTGATTAAAAGAAAAAAACACATAAAAATACAAATATGTGAAGAGCTCTCAAAACACGGACCCAAGGAAATTCCAGGAGTGAGATCAAGTACCTAGGATTAATAAACATCATACAAACGGTCACAACCGCTGTAAGCTCTATATACATATTTCAGATACATTATACATAAAATTGAAGGTTAGAAGTTGACAAAAAGTGTTGCTCTTGATTTATGCTCCGGAAGTTTAAAACAAATATCATTGATGGCTTCTCAGTGTCAGCTCTATGATTGCCTTGAGAAGATTAATAAAATTAATGGAGGATGATAACTGATAATTTTTATTCATCTTTAGCTCACCTGTGCTGAAAGTTAAAGTGAGTTTTTCTGATCACCTTTTGCCCGGTGTCCGTCTGTCTGTCTAGCTGTCTATCTGTCCATCCGTCTGTCTGTCCGTAAACTTTTCACATTTTCGACTTCTTCTCTACAACCACTGGGCTAATTTCAACCAATCTTCCACAAAGTATTCTTGGATAAAAGGGGTTCAAATTTGTTCAGATGAAGGATCATGCCCTTATTCGAGGGGAAATAATTCAGAGAGAGCGAAGATTTGATGGCATGTTTGAAAAATCTTCTTAAGAATCATTGTGCCAAGAAAGAAAAGTAACGGGGAAAAATCCTCAGGTAGTGTAGATTCAAGTTTATTCAAATCATGCCACTGGGGGTAGGGGGGGGCCACAATGGCCGATCAGAGTTTTACATAGAAGCATGCAGATATATTCTTTTTAAATTCTTCTCAAGAATAGCAAAACCATGATTAATTATATCGATAAGAAAGAATCCTCAGGTAATGTACATCCAAATTTGTTCAAATCATGAACCCATTGGGTATAACGAAGCCACAATGGCTGATCAAGGTTTTAAATCAGATATATAGGAAAATTATTTTAAAAAATTCTTCTCAAGAATAGCATAGCCATGGTTGGTCATATTTACATATCCATTTGGAAGCATTTTCAGTTAGGTTGTATTCAAGTTTGTTCTAACTCATGGGGTAGGGCGGGGCCACTATTGCCGATCAATATTTGACATAAAAATATTTTTAAAAATTTCTTAAAAAATCTTCTCAGGTATAGGACAGTTATGATTAGTCATTATTAAATGAAAGCATTCTCTGGTAGAGTAGGTTCAAGTTTGTTCAAATCATGATCAACAGGGGTAGGGCAGGAGTACAATGGCCATTCCAAGTTTTACATAGAAATATTTAGAAACTTTCAAAAAAAATCTTCTTCTAAATGTATAGCGAAGTCATAATTTGTCATATTTGAATGGAAGCATTCTCAGTTAATGTATATTCAAGTTTGTTCAAATCATGACCCCCATGGATAGGGCGAAGCCACAATGGCTTATCAAATTATATTTCAAGGACAGAGAAACCATGATTGGTCATATTTTAGTTAGGCGGGGGTAAGGAGGGGGTAGTTGAAGCCACAATGTAAGTTCAAATGTAAAGGGCAATAAAACCACGGGTAATCAAAAAAAAAATATGCAAGCTTCCTCAGTATGTGTAGATTCAACATTGTTCAAATCATACCCTTTAAGGATTGGTTGAAACTACTTTTGTGTTTAACTTTTAAAAATGATAAATAAAATAGATTTCAGTTTTTTTTCTAGTCACAGTGCTCAGGTGAGCGATAAGGTCCATGGGTCTCTTGTTTATCTTATATGTCTGCATGCTTGCATATAGAAAATTTATTACTTTGCATTTCACAGAAAAATATCAAAACAAAAGACAAAACGAAATCCAGGACACTGTAGATAAAGAAACAGCGGCAACATTGATAGTGTTGAATGAAAAGACGGCAGTCTGATTTCATTCAATATTGGCAGCTTATTACAGTGTTTTATTACCTTTTAAGAAACATCAAATCGTAAATTATATCATACACACTGCGTTTATATTTCTAGGTGATTAAATTAAGTAAAGATCATTAAATTTTACATAACACTTGCTTTCATCAAATCTTTAACAATATTCTCCTCAATCAAACATGCTTTTCAATTAAAAACTAAAGAATATTTGTAATGTGTAGTCTACACAGATTATGTTTATTTTTAATTGAACTCCGGCTCAAAATTTCAAAAAGTTAATTATTCAATTTTGGCGATGCAAAATTTGTTTGTTTTTATAAGATACTCTTTCAAAAAGAATAAAGTGATGCATATTTTTTATAGAACGTAATACAAAACAAAAAAAAAAAAATAAAAAAATTAAAGACTTATGATGGAAGTTGTTTTTATAATTGTATATATTGTCGAGGAGAGGTAAGTACCCCATGTTAAAAAAACTGCCGACAACCAATTCATAATTGTTTTCACACATACAATTTTTAAGCAAATACTTTGGCGTCTTACAATGTGTTCACATGTTCCGGATATTATAAAAGTATTTTTTGATAAATTGTGTTCATTTTCTTTTAAAAATATTTTGGCAGCTTTTATCATTACCATATGTGTTCAGTTTTATGTTTTTTTTTCTGTTTCTTCTGCATTAATTCATTATAGAAAATATGAATTCTCTGAAATATAAAGAAATCGTAGGTTTTGCCTTCGTGCTTGAATATGAGATTTTGTTATGCTTCCTATATAATTTCATAAAAAAATTGTGCTCAAAATTTTAACCTTATTACAAAATTTCTTTAAAAATTCCCACTATACTCGGTAAACATTATTATAATCAAGGTTACCAAATCAAATGTAAATCTATTAGAAACATTGCTGATTTCAGACAAAAAATTGTTTTTGTTATTTATACTTAGAATATTTGAGTTTTTCTCCACTACTTAAGTCATTTGTTAAAACTTTTGTTTAACTTTTGATGCATTTTGTAAAGTTGATATTTTTATGTTGTCAGCTTTTATCATTATTAACTACTGTGTTCATACGAGTACAGTGTATTCTAGATAAAACATTCTCATTTCTCATGTCAATTCGATTTCATATAATATCCTCCTCTGAAGAATCAATCTATGTTAAATTGTATATCATTTAAATTAGTTTGTTTAGTTTTAACTTTTTATAAATTTTTCTCCTCAAACTGTGTTCATTTTTATTTCATTTAATATTTATTAGTATTTTTCACACCAAATGTGTTCATGTTCAAATTTATAATATTTAATAATAAGGGTTTTAATAGTTTTGTATCTCCAGTATTATTGTTATTTCTATGTCAATTGCCTTGCTCATGAATGCTAATAGTTTTTGAAAGTTGATCAAATGTTGCACATCTCATCCTTCTAAAATCAAAAATGTTAGCCGGCATGGTCTAGATAATGCACTTTTTATCTAAGGGTAATTTTAATACTGTACATTAATTGCTGTTTTTTATGTCAAAACTATGATTTAACTGAGGAAAACAATATTCACCAATCCCGAAACGCGAGTACAGTATTGCACGTTGAAGCTGGCTAAATCATGGTTCACCAAGAAAACAGCAATTAAAGTTAAAATGATACAAGCTTATCAAATACCCCATGTCAATAACTTCTTTACAAAGCCGAAGGCCTAGTAAAACACTTTGAAAGAAGGGGTGGTTAAACATATAGGGAATTTTATTAATTTAAAATTCGTAAAATCAAATTCTAGTTCAATGTAGATGTGATTAAATGTATGGATCGATTTTGATATGGTGATTCTAAAAAGGAAACTTAAAACCAATTTATCAGTAAAATAAAATGTATATTGTTAAAACGAGAAGAACTCTCTAAAACGTAATACATGTATTATTTTGAGGGAAGTGGTGTAATGGTTCCATTGATTATCACAGTTGTAGGGATAGGTGTGGGGCAACAAGCCTTATAATGATACAAAAGGTGTGGGATTGGGACAGTTCCCCATGCAGCCCCATCCCCCTCAATTTTATGTCACTGAATATTATGTTCTCCGTAGTAGAAGCCTGATGAAATTGTAATTACTTATAATTTTTTGTATATATTTGTTGTTTCTCGATCTATTTTAGTTTGGATATAGAAAATAATAAGTTATTATGTTCACCTCGAAAGGCAAGTGTAGGTAGACGTAGTGAAATATTTTTTCTTCAAATGTTAGATCTTAGCCAATTAAGGAGATCAGAAATACTATCATTTTGATTATTGTCATATAATTATGTAAATTGTTTTACTCAAGAGGAATTTTTATAATAATTATGCTCTTTTTTTTTTAAAACCTAATCCGGATTTCACAACTTATTTTAAACAAGAAACTATTTCATGTTTTTAAATATATAAAAAAAATTAGTTTAATAAACATTTTAAACTTATCGAATTTCTTCTTTTATGAAATGAAATGCATTTATATTATTTCTTATAAATACATATACATGTACCTAGACTTTAGAATGTTTGAAATGAAAATGCAATTAAATTTTTTGTTTACACCTCTTATTCTCCGTTTATTAAATTTGGCTATCAATTTGTATATAAAAAAGACAAAAGAAAGTTCTTTATTCTTCCAAAGATGATGCAATTGGCAGATATTATTTGTATGTTTTGGTATGGCTATGACGTAAAAAGTTAGAGATCTTTTTGCAGCGGTTTTATTTTGCACAATCATTGTTGTATTGAAACTAATACAGCATATTCACTAATAAATGGATTGTATAAAAATTTAAACATAAAAAAGCGATTTATACAAACGTATACGTTCAGTTG